ATATTTGTTAGCCTTGCATATTTCACAATTCCTCGTATACCTTCCTACAAGACTGTTCATCCTAGGGAAATAGTATTTTTCCAAGAGCTGTAGTTTATTCTCGTCCTTATTCCTATGTGTCCTTCTGTGCTCCTCTTCTATCAAGGAACAGACCCTATTTGGACAAGTTACATCTTCTACAAGTCTCTGAGTGATCCGTAGCTTATAATGTGAAAAGTGTTCCAAATAAACCTCCTGTAATAGCCACAAATACTGTTCAGGAATTTTAATCCCATTTAAGACATCAGGTCTAAGTTTTTCCCTCAGGATTCGTGTAAGATTTTCCCTGCTAATTTCCTCCAAAGATATGATGTGTCGGTTGTAGCCAGGATGAGGATTAATATGTGTAATCATATCTGATTGGAATTGTCGTATTATAATCTGATTACGAAAAACGTTAATAGGAGCTTCGACATGTGGAATCAAATCTGTGCCATCCTGTTCGGCACTGTGTACGGTTCCCTCGCTAGCTGTTATAGTAGCTGAGTCTCCGTTCCCTATCGTACCCTCACTAGCTGTTATGGTATCTGAGTCCTCACTTCCTACCCTACCTTCACTTGCAGTGTCAGTGGAGGACTCATCCGCAAGATGGACACATAAATCTGTAGATGCAGTTCTCGAAGTCTGCTCAGCTTTCACTGAGTCGGTTGAGTCTGTTTTTAAGCGAGATAAGGCGTCGGCTACTACATTGGATTTCCCTGGTTTATATACAAGTTCGAAGTTATATTCCTCTATCCTAGCCTTCCACCTTTTCAATTTCGCATTATAATTCCTGTTGCTCATGGCAAACGTCAGAGGTTGGTGATCGGTAAAAATGCGTATTTTCTTAGCTCCATACAGGTAGGAGCGAAGATTGTCCAATGCCCAAACTATGGCGAGCATCTCTTTCTCGTTCGTGGCATATGCCTCTTCTGTCTTGTTCAAAGAGCGAGAAATAAAGGTTATTGGTTTGTCCTTTCCCATTTCCCCTTGAGACAGTACTGCACCTAAAGCACTGTTAGAAGCGTCTGTCGTAAGATTAAATGGTTTGTCAAAGTCCGGGAAGGCTAATACTTCCGACGACGTGAGCAACTCCTTAAGCTCGTTAAATGATTGTAGCTCTTCCTCCCCGAGAATAATTCTAACTTTCTTCGATTGATTAGCCTTGACTTGTGCCATCTCGCCACGAGTGAGAGTGGTTAAAGGTTTAGCTACTTTGGCAAAGTCTTTAATGAACCTCCTATAATAGGATGTTAATCCCAGAAAACTTTTGAGCTCTTTCAGGGTCTGGGGTGGTACAATGTCAAGGATTGCCCTCACCTTCTTCCTATCAGGCAGTATACCATCCTTAGTAACCACGTAACCAAGGAATTCGACCTCGGTTTTCATAAAAGCAGTTTTCTCTAAATTAACCCTAAGGTGAGCGTCTCTTAGACGCTGAAATACTTTCCTAAGGTTCCCCAGGTGTTCCTCAATATTACCCCCGTATACTATTATGTCGTCTATATAGACATAACATATTTTCCCTATACAACCTCGCAGGACGTCATCGACCATACGCTGAAATATAGCAGGCGCATTCCGTAGGCCGAACGGTAGCCTCAAAAACTCATACTTCCCATTCATTGTTGAAAAGGCTGTCTTTGGAATATCCCTTGGATTCATTGAAATCTGATGAAACCCCGAAGTGAGGTCAAGGGTTGTAAAATATTTCGCCTTGCCAAGGCTCGCCAAAGTTGAATTTATGTCGGGAATTGGATATGTGTCAGGTATGGTGACGGCATTCAGTCTTTTGAAATCCACCACCATCCGATATTGTTTCTCTCCATTTGGTTTAGGTTTCTTTGGGACCACCCAAATGGGAGAATTATAAGGACTTCTTGACGGCCGTATTACATTATTATTCAGAAGTTCTTCTATTTGTCTGTCTACTTCAGCACGCATACAAGCTGGATAAGGATAACTCTTTGAGTATATTGGCTCATCAGTGGTACACCGTATCTCTGCCCTAATAGATGTTGCTGCCAATTCGTTATTTATTGGTCCAAATATGTCACTAAACTCGGCTATTAGGTCACTCAATGTAGTGCATGATGGAAGTACGTTAATTTCGTTCAATGTCTGAATTCTAAGTCGTATACTGATCCCTGGCGAGATTGTCAGTGTATTATTTTTGTGGTCTATTATAGCTTGAAGCTCACGTAGAGTATCGTCGCCGATTATACCATTGAAAGATGTGAATCCCGGTAGTACATAGAATGTAATTGTCGTATCGTTACCAAATGGGGCAAAGAATTTCCCCTTTACCTTCTCATTAATTTGTATTCTCCCTGAGGCAGTACGAACATAAAATGGCTTATCTAATTTCTTTGAACTGGGGCATAAGGCTGGCTCAACAAAGTTTTTTGTAGCCCCTGTGTCTATTAAAAATTTTATTATTGAGCCATCCTTTAATTCATTGCTTACGTATGGTAAGCCGGAAAGGCACGAGTCCGAAAATTTATTTCGTCGTCGGCCGGTTCGCCCTCATTGTCCTCTTGTGTCATGTTAAAAATTCTCTGTTGTTTAAACGGGTGTTGTGCCGACCCGGGACGAACCTGTTCCGAAAAGGCCCGCCTTTTGTGGTTATTCCATGGTCGGTTTCCGGTCCCCCTAGATTGCGTACTCTGATCTATGTCCATTGGTTCTGGTCTGTGGGGAGCAGGCTGTTGCGCAACACGCCGTTTCTCAAATTGTCGGTTAACAAAAGGGTTCGCTTGAGGTTGATACCGGTTTTTCGGTACAAATTTTGGAAGGAAGCTTGGTTTCGAGTCTTACTTGGGTGGTGATTCGGAAAGTTATTAAATCCCATTGGAACCTGGACCCTATTCTGACCATTAACCGAATGTAGGGAGACCTGACTCCTGTAATTGGCATTTCTCAATTCCAAACATTGCGAATATGCCTCGGGAAGTGTCTTTGGCTTCATGAGCATTATCATCCTTGACAGCTCGCCATTAAGACCCCTTATGAAAACTTCCAGTGTCCTATTCCTATAAGTCTCTATTAAAACGTTCGTCGTTTCTTCAGAATAAGTTTCCGTCTTCAATTTGTTTATGATCAAGGAGAACTGGTGATTTACTGTAGCGTAGAACTCGTCTACGCTCATACTCTTCTGAGCTAGTTGGGTCAACTGATGTTCTAGTGTGCGAACATCTCTTTTGTCTGCATAATGCAGAGAAAGACAGTTCTTTATCGATGCCCAGTCTTACACAGTCGGGAAGTTTTCCTATTTCGTTCAATTCGGTTTCTGTGGTTGGAGCACGCAGGGGGGAGGAGGACTTTCGCCCTCAACAACCGGTGGATTACTGGGCCTACGTTCCAAATTCAGCGTTCTCTGATCCAGAGTTTTTAGCTGGTTTAGAACGGCGTTTAGGGCGCCAGTTAACTCTGTTACCTTACTTTGCAAATGTTCCATACTTACATACACATATACATATACATAGGAATTTGCAGGTTCTTCCCTCTATATTTTTACAGTCACCTTTACAGGATATGCCTTCCAATAATTCTCCCTCTTCTCTTCAAATTAATTCACTGTAGTCACAGGATCGAAATTTCACTTAATTGTCACTGTTCTTTCTTTCTTTAGGTGGATCCTCTTTTCCAAAAAAAAAAATTTAAAATTTCACTGTTTCTTTTTTATTTTTTCCAGTTTTTAGTTTCTGGAGGGTCCCGTAGGAATCGCAAAAACTTATTTAATTTCACAATTTCGGGGTCGAAATTTCACTTAATTGTCACTGTTCTTTCTTTAGGTGGATCCTCTTTTCCACAAAACAAATTTTAAGGTTCACTATTTCTTTTTTATCTTTTTCAGTTTTTATTATTTAGTTTCTGGAGGGTCCCGTGGGAATCGCAGAAACTTATTTAATTTATTAATTTTATATATTTAATTTTTTATTTAATTTTATAAGGACTCCGCTTTCTCTTGGCGGGTCCCTGCTCGGGCGCCAGTTAACTTCCTTTGTTATGTGAAATTAAAAAAAATGATTTTTAAGTGGACACCGACTTGTCCACTATAAATGAAACACGTTAATTTTTGGTTTACAATTTTATTCAACGACCGCTTTGGTCAACCTCCCAAGTAAGACTAACTCTAACAATATTTTTTAAATGCTTAAATCTAAATAATTCTGCTGATCCAACTTATTCCATTCCCACGTTGTGAAATCTTCCAGACGAAATATGATCCTGCATACTAGCTTGCGCGTGTGCACCGTCAGCACAACCTTGTGTAGATTTTTCCCGCTCATGTATACTTGATTGTGTTAACTTACGAAACTGAATACACCAAGAAACAAAAACAATATACACAAGGTAATGAAACACACAGCCATCCAAACATGAAACGAAATACTCAAAAAAACAAAATACACAACGCAATGAATAAGCAGTGTTGTTGTTGTTGTAAAGCATGAAAAAATAGTCTTTTTTATTAAATTTTCAGAGGTTGTCTCCGATTTTTGCTCATATCTCCGATATTTATGAACCGATTTTGTTTTTGAACTTTTATGCAAAATGGCATTTAAAAATTGTTTCTTGCGATGACCCATTAATTACATATACGTAACCCACTTTAATTCGAAATGCACAGAAATAGAAAATGAAAAGTTACTTTTTTCGGATGGATAGGTCAACTTAACATGCTTTTAACGATTAAAAATCGAATTTGAGACATTTTGTGTTATTTTGTTTTCTATTCCTTATTTGAAAAGTATGTAAGTAATATACAAGCGTTTTTTAATAATTCAATACATCTTTATTCAACGAACTTAAAATTAAGAATAACAATAGAAAAAGGAATGCAATACTATTATTTGCATTCAGTGTTGCCATATTAATATAATACCAACAATGGGTCATAACAATCTCCCACGCTTTATAGGATATTGTCATTTTGAAAAAAATCAATTCGAAAATAAATTAATAAAATAGTACATAATTTATTCTGGAACGTAATCTTGAAGATATGTTGGCCTATTGCGTAATCTTGCAGATCTACGAATAGTTTGCTCTTGAGAATTCTGCGCTCCTTGTACCGTTGTAGGATCTTGAGGTGCAGCATGACTAGTAGTTTCTTGAATTTCCTGCGATTCTGGATTTGACTGATTTTGAAGATTTGGAGCTTCCAATATATACTGGTTATAATCATGAGCCTGTTGATTTTGACGGTTAGTAGAATCAGTATTGTTTCCATCAATGCTTGGGGCAAAGTGTACTTCCCGTTTCTGAACATTTGTAATTTTCAGTTGGTCTATATGGCGTTTAAGTGTATAGCCATCATCCAATTTCACTAAATAATGTAGGTTTCCAAACTTCCTTATTACGTTGCCCATTTTCCATACAGTTTTGTTGTTTTTAATGTGTAGAACTTGCACTCTTTCTCCCACGCCTATTTGACGAACGCCCGGGATAGACTTTGGAGAAAAAATTTTCTTTGTAGGTTTTAAAGCATCCAATTTAATTCGAATACGTCTTTTAAAATAGAGTTCAGCTGGACTCTTTCCACAGTTCAGAGGTGTAGCTCGATATCTTTGAAGAATTTCGTTAACCTTTTTCTGTATTGAAGCCGAATCGGATGACATTGCTTTCAATTTACGCTTCAGTGTTTGAACATTACGCTCTGCTAATCCATTTGTACTTGGATGTCCTGGAGCAATTAGTTTTTGGAAAATACCATTCTGCTTACAATATAATTTGAATTGTTCGCTGGTGAAGATTGTAGCGTTGTCGGATACAATAATTGAAGGGAAACCATGGGTAGTAAAAATTTCAGATAACAAACTTATAGTGTTTTGCGTTGTAGGTGCATCACGTATAACTCTAAATTCACATGATCTTACCATTCTCCCTATATCACGGTCAATTCCTTTCCAAAAACAGTACATTCTTGCAAGTTGTTTCATTTTTGTAATCCCCGGATGTGTGTGATGTAATTCTTGGAGGATTATAGATTGAAGACTTTTCGGTATAAGCACTCTTTGACCTTTAAAGATTACTCCATTATCGAGGGTATATTTTCCTTCGTCGTCATCACCACTTAGCAGATCTGACAAAATTTTTGAAACTTCTGGATCTTTTGCTGTTTCCGTGGCTAATATTTCGGCATTCATTGATTCAAAACACAACTCATTAACTTCTTCGTTAATGAGCTTATCTGTAGATAGCTTTTCTTGAGGCTGCGTAGCACGAGAGAGGCAATCAGCATGAATATGTTCAGAGCCCTTTTGGAAGACAATTTCATAATTGAAACTTGATAAAAATTCTGCGTATCGTAGCAATCTGGCAGATGTTATAGCTGGCATCTTATTGTGTTGATGAAAAATGCGTGTCAATGGTCGATTGTCTGTAATAAGTTGAAACTTCCTTCCGTAGAGGTAATTAAAAAAGTGATTCAATGTAAATACAATTGAAAGTGCTTCACGATCTATATGGCTATAGTTTCGTTCAGCTGTGGACAATGATCTCGATGCATATGCAACTGGACGTTCTATACCATTTACTATATGTGAAAGTACACCTGCTATACCTGTAGGACTGGCATCACATGCTACTATAACTGGAAGTTCTGGATCGAATGGCATAAGTACTTGGTCACTGGAGATTATATTTTTAAGTTTTATAAACGATGCTTCACAATTTGAAGACCAATAAAATGTCGAATTTTTCTGAAGCAATTGACGTAACGGATAAGTTATTGAAGACATATCTGGAATAAATCTGGAATAATACGTTATCATGCCTAAAAATCTTCTAACATCATCGATATTAGCTGGGCGAGGCATATTAACTATTGCATCAATTTTTCCTGGTGACTTTGAGATTTCATTATATCTTACAATATGTCCAAGATATTCGATTTGAGTTTGAAAAAATTAGCATTTGCTTCTATTCAAGTGTAAATCGTGTTGTTGTAGTCCCTTGAGGCACAATATTAAATTTCGTTTACATTCGGCTTCTGTAGATCCATGTATTATAATGTCATCGAAATATGGTTTTGTCCAAGCCAGATAAAATTTGTCCAATAATACGATTAAATTCTGATGGTGCGGTTTTTATACCAAAAGAAAGGCGGTTGACTCTGTAGGTCGCCTTATGTGTTGACATTGTTTGTATCTCACTGGATTCCGGATTCACTCGTAGGTGAAGGTACGCTTTATAGAGGTCTAGTCGACAAAAATATTTGGACCCTTTAAGGTTACTTAAAATCTCGTCAATACGACGAATAGGATAATTGGAAGAAACAAGTTGTGGATTAACACCTGGATTGTAATCGACGCATAGTCGAATTCCTCCATCTGGTTTTGGAATAATCAAGAGAGGTGATCCCCAATCACTTCTTTCACATTTTGATATAATCCCGGCAGCTTCTAATTCATTTAGTTCCTTTTCAACACGTTCTCGTAGAGCGTATGGTACTTCTCGTTCCTTGTAGAATACCGGTTTGGAACCCTGGCGTAGCTGTAGTTGTTAACACATCCTATTTTCTCTGTAAATACATCGTTAAATTCATTAATTATATCAGAAATTGAATCTAATTTATATATCTCCACTGTATTAATATTGTGAAGGTGTTGTTTGTCTACTTGCTGTAAATTTATCTTCAAATGGCGAATCCATACTCGACCCATGAGGGCATCATGACCACTCGGAATGACATATAACTCCTCATTTGTTGTTAAGTTGTTGCATTTTACTTTTACTTTACTTGCAGTTTTTCGTATTCATTTCTTGGTATTAGTGTAAATCCAACACCAGTGTCGACTTCCAATTTTTGGCGGCGTCCACTTATATCTACCTCGACGTAGTATTTATCGATATCATTTACTTTGAATTCATTTGAAAATATATCTACTATTTGGTTGATACCATAAATCTGGTGGATTGTCTCATCATTCTCATGATTTATATATTCCCTTGAAGATTTGATTAAGGTTTTTATGCACACACGCTGGAGATGTCCTCTTTTTCCACACGAGTTGCATTTGAGGTTATGTTTGTTAGTGCGGCAGTCATTTGTTTTGTGGTTGTTTCTACCACAACGTAAACACAAATTATCAATTCCCAATTTCCTATAATCTAATCTCGATTTGGAATTGCGTTGCGTTGAAGACGAACGATTTTTTAACTGACTTCTACTCTTTTACTCTTTTTTACTCGTCGCCACTTTTCTATTCCTTATTTGAAAAGTACAGTGAATCAATTAAGTAATTTGCCTATGTAAAATTTTATAAATTTTAAGAAAAAACTTTATCTGAACAATTATTTTTAGCAAAATAAAGCAATTTGCTTGTTGTATTTTTTAAAGAATATCTTATATTTTAATTTTCTATCATAAAAAGTAAAATCGTGATATTAATTAACGAGATTTTTGATAAAATGTGAACGTATTGTTAATTTTTAAGGTCAATAAAGTATTTTGCTTTTTTAGGTTTTTTGTTTTTTTTTTTTTTTAATATTGCTGCATTATTTTATAAAATTTAATATTTTTATTACTCCTATATATTAGAATAACATTTTTTAGATATTTTAGTAGTGGAACGACTAAGTTTGGACATTTCTTAACCGATTTATTATCCTATATACCTATAAGAATTTTTCAATATTTGACTTAACATGAAATCTATCGTTTCTTTGATTTAATTTCGAAAATAATAAGTAATTTTGAATTGGATACATGATATATTAGGAAATCAATGGATTTGGACCTAGAAAAAAATATTAGTGGGGTATAAATCTATATTTTATAACAAAAATAATCTTTGTTTTTGGTCATTTTGTATTGATAAACAAAAACTACATTACGGAAACCCCATCTATTTGGGGAGTACTGTGTGAATTTTATTTAGAATTGTATAATATTGATTATTATTCAATAAAGCTAACACTAAGTACCATCCTAGCCACTCTAAGTATGGGGATATCACCGTATACCACTGTAGAACTATTACATGCTAGAATTTTGATATTCTACCTCATATTTTGAATGCATTATTTTATGAATAAAATACAGTAGGCGTAGCTGGATTTGGATAGTTATTCTTGATTTGGGCTCTAACTATATATAAGTGTATGTATTAGCTGAAAAATATTGCTTTTGCGGAGGTGATGAGAACCGCCTCTATTTGTAAATACCTAAATTAAGTATTTTTCCCGTACCACACGATAGTTCACCTTATATTGTTTTCAAGCAACCTAAAGTCTATTTAGAGGTCTAAATTTAAACATAGTGTTCTTTTAAGTTCGTATATGGTCTTTGGAGAAGATAAATGAGGACTTCAATGGTTTTTGCTTGGATACAAGTCGCTCTCCTTTGGCAGTTAAAGATTTTGAAAAACAACTCAGTGCATTTTTTTAATAATTCTTTGTGTTATTTCATCAATTTCTATATTTTATATTTCTTAATGATTGATTAAACATCTCATAATTGAATTTCATTGATTTATACTTGTTCTAAATATCTAAACTAA